CCAGCCTGAGCAAGAGCAAGACCACCTCTCTAAAAATAGCAGGGCATAGTGGCTGGTGCCTATATTCCCAGTTACTTGGAAGGCTGAAACAAGAGAATTGCTTGAGCCCAAGAGTTTGAGGTTGCTGTGAGCTATGCTACAGCACTCTATGAGGGGCAACAAAGTGAGTCTCTGTCTTAAAAAAAAAAAAAAAGGAGTTTAATTACAGTAATATCTTGGAAAGACTGCAGGCTCAGTTCCAGAGCACTACAGCGCAATAAAGTTAGTCACACAAATTATTTTTTGGTTTGCCAAGGTATATAAAAGTATATGCTATACTGTAGTTTTAGTGTGCAATAACATATCTAAAAAGAGGTACATACCTTAATTAAAAATGCTAATGATGACCTGAGCCTTTAGCAAGTCATAATCTTTTTGCTGGTTCAGGATCCTGCCTGGATATTGATGGGTGCAGACAGGGTAGTTACTGAGGAGTAGGGTGGCTGGGACAATTTCTTAACATAAGATGGCAGTGAAGTTCACAGCATTGACTCTTCCTTTCATGAAAGATTTCTCTGTAGCTTGTGATGTTGTGTCATAGCATTTTACTTATAGTAAGTAAAGACTCTTTTAAGCCCTCTCAAACCCTGTTGTTGCTGCTTTATCAGTATAGTTGATATAATATATTCTAAATCCTTTGTTATCATTGCAACAATGTTCATGACATCTTTACCAGGCATAGAGTCCATGTCAGGAAACTACTTTCTTTGCTCATCCCATAAGAAGTCACTTTTCATCTGTTTAGTTTTTTCAGGGGCAACAGTTCAGTCCCTTACTCAGTTCAGTCCCTTCTAATTTTAGATCTCTGGCTCTTTCCACCACATCTGCAATTACTTCCTCCACTGAAAACTTGAACTTCTCAAAGTCATCCTTGAAGGTTAGAGTCAACTTCTTCCAAATTCTTGTCAATGTTGAAATTTTGACCGTCTCCTGTGAATCACAAATGTGTATATTAATGGCATCTTGAATGGTGAATGCTTTCCAGAAAGCTTTCAATTTCATTCGCCCTGATCCATCAGAGGAAACACTATCTATGGCAGCTATAACTTTGCAAGATGCATTTTTTTTTTTTTTTTTTTTT